CCAGTTTTGTAAAGCTGTACAAAAGCACTGTAGTTTCCATTTTTATGGCCTATCATATTAGTATTTGATACACATACACACCTTAGAAATAAAATCTACACTGCCATCTAGTGTTAACCAACTACCTTAACTGAGAACTTAAAAGTCAGGTTACCTTGTACTACGCACCAGAATAATTTTAGTATATTCCAAAACAATACAAAAGAAATGCATTTAAAGGTATAAAATTGCCTATGATAAGTATCGGAGATTATTTATTTATTTATTTGAGTTGGAGTCTCACTCTGTCACCCAGACTGGAGTGCAGTGGCCGCTCCTGACCACCGCAGCCTCGACCCGCTGGGCTCCGGCGATCCTTCCGCCTCAGCCTTCCGAGTAGCCGGAATTACAGGCATGCGCTACCACGCCCAGCTGATTTTTTGATTTATTGTAGAGATGAGGTCTCGCTGCCCAGGCGGGTCTCGAACCCGTGGGCCCAGGTAATTCACTCACCTCAGCCACCCAAAGGCGCGGGATTACAGGCTGAGCCACCGAGCCCGGCCCGGAGATTATTTAAAATTCACGTGGAGTATAATTATTTTTCTCTGTCAAAGAATTTATGGGAAGTCTTTCCGCTTTTGCATATATTGACCAAATGAGTGGAGGATTTCTTTTATATTCTCTAATTTTGAGAGGATGTCTTCTGAAACGGAAACAGCGCTTGTTTTATAAAGATGAAATTGTAAAAGGATGCTCTTAATGACGTCACCTCACATGTCAGATCTAACTTACCCGATAATATACACAATACATGTGAAGAGGAGCCCTGTGGCAAGTGTCCTCCTAAAGGCAGGTGCAGATGGAGTTGGGGAGAGGCAGAGACAAGACACTCCTCCTGGGAGGCAACCGCCTCTGGAGAGCTGGGGTCTGTTTCAGAAAACACTTTGCAAATTTTGATCAAAATACTTCTTCCTTTTCAAAATCAACCTTGTCTTCCCAAATGGTGTTTTAGGTACCTGGCATTATTTCTTCATCTACTTAATAGACGTCTGTCGAGTAAGAAACTGCCTTTTTCACCTCTGTGTGCTTTACAATAGGACAGACTTTGTCTGCAGGGTGTTTGCGCACGCCGACCCCCTTATTTACCTAGGTAACTCCTACGTTTTCAAACCTCAGCTCAAGTGTCACTTCTTCAAGGACATGTCCCTGACAAGGCTAAATTTCAAAGCTACCTATACTCTACTTCTGTGGCCCCTGTCACATCTGTAGTGCTGCATGCTGGCACAAGTCCTTTAACAGCTTCACAAAGGCCAGGACAACTGTGTCCATCTTTGCTCACCATTCGACATTCCATGCCTGGCACGGTGTGTGGCCGCCACATAGTAGATACTCAATAAATATCGGCCAAGGAAATAAACCGATGAATTAATAAAACAATTGATGAAACCACGGCACTGCATGCGAAACCTGCAGAGAACTAAGTAAGACATAGTCTCTTAACCTCAAGAAACCTGGTGAGAAGAGATCATGAATAAATACTTCCTCTACCAGGCACGGATGAGAGGCTCCATAAGAAGGATGCAGAGAAAAGAACAGAGCTGCCAGAATTCAGAGTTTTCGGAGAGGAAGGCAAGGCCAGGGCAAGCCTTTGGAAAAGGTGGTGGGGAGAAGTGGGTCTTCCAGGACGGAAGCATGTGAATATGTGATATGCACGAATTGGAGTCCAGAGCAATGGGCAGAGCAGACGGTGCGAGCAGAGGCCCCGGGGCAGAACAAGTGTTCATCCTGAAGACAGCTGCCGTGAAGGGGCGGGGAGGATAGAGAAGTGGGCGAAGTCAATGGGCAGTCTTGCCTAGCCCATTTACTTTGAAACACAGGTGGGTTCCACCCTGGGAGCAGAGAAGAGATTCCAGGAGGGAGCCCATGGCCGCAGCCAGGATCACCAGGACTACAGCTGTGCTTTCAAGACAGACCAGGAGAGGAAGGGGCAAGGAGCAGCACGCTGAGCACAGAGCGATCAGGCCAGCGACAAAGACGGCACTGAAAAGAGGGGCTGAGGCCACCCATGGACACAGTGCTGCTCACATGTGCTGAGCAGGCAGGGCAGTGACAATGGAGAATGGCAGGACCTGTGCTCACGACATGCACTTAGGAACCACAGGTGTGGCGGTGGGAAAGGAAGCCATGGCCACGGGTCGGAACGTGCAGGGGAAAGGGCATGCCATTTCCCACTCGGTTGCCACAGTTGACATAGAAAGTCAACCATGGCAAGGACATGGAGCAACCCTAACGCTCGTGCTTTGCTACCCGGAAAGCAGAACAGAAAAACCACTTTGGCAAACTCTTCGGTAGCTGATTTTGAAGCTCAGCATACACCTACCACTTGTATGACCCAGTCATTTCACTCCTAGGTATGCATTCAAAGGAAATAAATATACAAGTCCACAAAAAGACTTGTAGAAAAGACTCACAGTCGTTTTATTTATAATAGCCTGAAACTAGAAACAGCTCAAAATTTCCTATTAGGTAAGTGGAGAAACAAATTGTAATTTTGCACAATGGAATATTACCAATAATAAAGCAATAAAAAAGAACAAACTCCTGGTACATACACATGGATGAAGCTCAAAAACATGTTGAATGAAAGAAGGCAGACACACAAGTGTGTGTACAAAATGATTCTATTCGCATTAAGCTTGAGGAAAAAACACCAGACCTGGTGATTAGGAAGTCACAGAAGAACTTCAGGAGAAAAGTTTCACAAAGTGATGGAAACCAAGTTATACCTTATCTGATTAGGGAGGACTAAATGGTAAGGAAGCAAAGGGCCACATACAGGGGTCAGCAAACTTCAGTCTACAGGCCAAATCTAGCCCACCGACCTGATCCCGTACGGTCTGAGAGTGAGCCATGGCTTTCACATTTTCAAAGGTCTTTAAAAGAATGCAACAGAAACCATATGTGTCCCACAAAGCCTAAACTACTTCCTATCTGGCCCTTAGAGAGAGATGGCTGCTCCCCGATCGAGACTTCCCCTCATGTCTGGCACTGAAGTGAAACGAAGAAAGTGATGGAGCCTGTGGCTTAAAAAGGAAGCAAGGTAAATGTGAAGGGAAGAGGAGACAGCCTGACGATAAAAGACGTAGCTACACTTTAGAAGCAGTGGAGGTAAAGAAATACTGGACACAAGCAGGACAGTGCCCTTAAAAACGGAAGAGAAAGGCCACTCTACAACAGGTGGAAAGAAGGAAGGATGATGTGAGGAGGAACCGACAGCTTATCAGAGGTTCCACACTTCACAGGGGAGTAGGCTGGGGCCTGTCCTGACCACTCTGCGTAAGATTCACAAGCCTTCCCCCGCAGTCCCAAGCTCTGCTATCTTGTTCTCGACTTTCTTTTTTCCATAGGACCTATCATCAAACTTGCTAGACACTTAGTGCTTGTATATTTGCAAGCCCACTAGAATGCAAGTACCATGAGGGCAGGAATATGTGTCTTTTATTCCCTGATGTGCCCTAAGCATCTAGACTGGCACAAGGCACAGAGAAGGGACTCAGAAAATCTTTGGTAAACAAGGGTAAAACTTTAATCTGCAGGGAGTGAGAGGCTTAAGCTGGAGGAGGAGTTCTCGAGATCAGCACTCTCTGCATTTTGGGACAGATCATTCCTGTTGCGAAGAGCTGTCCTGCACATCACAGGACTCTGCAGATCGCTGACCTCTACCCACTAAGTGCCAGTAGCACTCCTCTCCTCTGTGAGGCCAAACAAAAATGTCTTCAGACATTATCAAATGTCCCCTGAGGGGTAAATCATTGTGGTTGAGAAGCACGGGGCTAGTCGTGAACATCAAGACTGCGAGGGAATCAATCACTCATTCAATCATTTGACACATGCCTACGGAAGGCCAAACAGGGGCGAGGCACTATGGAAACAAGATGCAGAGCTGACAAGGTCCCTGACCTCAAGACACTTCTGGTCTGGTGAGGAAGACTATAGACTATGACGATGACGATTATTAAGCAACTATAAATTGTGATTACCGTTACGAAGGAAATATACAGGGTAGAGAAACAAACAAGCAAGCAGACAAACAAACAGGAAAGATCTGCTTTATAAAGGGCAATCAGAGAAGGCTTCTCAGAAGAGGGAGTATTAAAGTTGAGGATTCAAGTTTGAAAAGGAGACCACCACAGGAAGAGAGAAAAAACAAAACACACACCCGGGCCCTCAAACAGGAAAGAGTACAGCACCTTCAAGGAAGGGTGGCCTGCCTGGGGCACCATGGCAGAAGGGTGGAGTCTGAAATGAGCCCAGGGGCCAGTCACAAGTGGTGAGACCCTGGAACAGAGGCTGGTGTTAATGCTGACCATAAGGGAGTATCAATGGTGGGCTTGCCCTGGGCATGACATACGCCAACGGATGTTCTGACGACTCTGGCTACCAAGTAGGCCCTGGCCAGCTGCCAGGAGGACCTGGGGAATGAGGAGAAAGATCCATCAAAAGCACCCTAAGAAGCGGAGGACATGCCAAGGTGGGGTGCGGCTGTCTCCAGGAGGGGCCACAAGCCCAGGAGGAGGACTAAAGGAGGAAATGGCCATCAGGAAAGAGGACCGGACACCGCAGGGAAGGCACAGCTCCTCGATACGACGGTGAGGAATGAAATGTGCTCCTGAGACGGCACCAAAACAGGAAGACTGGTGTCACAGGTGGGGACACGGGCAAAACAGCCTATCAGAGCCTTGAAAACTCTGTTCCTCCACAGGTCCCTGACTTCACACACTGCTCTGTGAGTATTCATGAAGTGAGCTTCATTGGATAGGAGATGTTGGTACATACAGAGATACATACAGACACTTCGAGGACACTGAGTACAGCTCTCAAGACATTTTCCATGGCCAAACTGATCCTCTCCATTGCGACTCTGAGTTACTAAGTAAAGTGTGAGGGCAAAAAGCTCAAAAGGAAGATAGGCACAGAAAAAAATCAAGTTACTCAAGTCTTGGTAAAAAATATGCACTTACCTATAAGCATTAATATAATCTTTTCTGTGTTCCAGAAGAAAATCTCTCAGTTTACCAATGTGAGAAATCTAAAATTTAAAAAGAGAGCAAACAGTTTATATAGATATGTTACCCTTATGTAATAAATTTTAAATTAACAGAGAATGAAATGCAAGCTGCAGAAAGACTTTGAAGCTACAAACTGAGCAACTTTGGTTTTAGACTCTGATACAGTCACTAACTTTTTGACATTCCTGGACCTTGGTCTCTTACCGATGGCTCCTTTTGCTTGTAATTGTTATGACCTATGACAGTATGAGTAAATCATTTCTAAGCAACTTAGAAATTAAATGAGATGACGCGTATCAAGTAATTACACAGCATGTGCTCAATAAAGGCTAATTCCTTTCCTTATAGGTCTTATATCTAAAATTTTACAGACAAGTATTTCTTCTTCCAAGTGTCCCAGCGGGCAGAGTCTACGGCTGAGGGTCCACACAGAGAAGCAGAGTTAAAGAAAACGTTCAGGGGCCATGATTTGTCCCGACACAGCAAAGTTCCACCTTCCCTATGGCCGACTTCAAAGGACAAACAGAAAGAACACAAAGGAATAGGTCCCTGTATCATACTTGCGATGGCTGTTTCTGGTACAAGACAAACCTGCTCTAAAGTGCCTACCATGTGTTAGGCAACTTGCGTGGAGTTAGGAATTCAAAAATAAATACATAAAATAAAAGAAACATTCAGATCACAGTCAACGGGGACAAAAGTGTTTCCAGAAGGAGAGTGCGATTAACTGGCCAGCAGCCCGCGCCTGTCCCCGGAGCGCTTGCCCTGGCTTCCTACTCAAGTCTTCCACACTCATTCCGAGCACACGTGCCCACCCTTGACAGGTCTGGACTTTCATCATGTCCACCACAGTTTTCCTGTCAAGGCCAGCACAGGCTAGTTTTCACTTTGCTCTGAACTTAAAAGGACTTCTGCATACCACCCACTTGGCACGCAACTATTCATGACTATGTACTCTGCCTTGACTTCATATGCATGCTTCTTTGTCGGGGACACTATGAATGATGCAAAGAGGCTTCCCAGCTTTCTCTACAGTTCTAAGCAAAAGAAGCAGCATAGAAGTCGATCAACAAACATTTGTGGAACAAGGAAAGGCCTCAACACAAAACTGTATTTACCACAAAAGAAACACTCACGGCTTGTCTGGCGATAGGTCAGTAGAGGTTCAGTTAAATTTCCCGCAGTCTAGACCATTACTATAAATGGGCTCAGAAATATATCCTCAGGCATTGTAAGAGTACAAAAAAAAATATGTCCACAATATCCACGTGTTGAACAGACAGCAAGCCATGACTGAGAGTCTGTCCACCATCCCTGATGCTGCTAGGCACTTGCACATACATGGTCTCTTTCTCCTGCCCGCAGCCTTGCTGTGGCCAGATTCTCCCTGTTCTCAATAACCAGTTTGGAAAGTGAGACTCACAGAAGCTCAGCGACTTGTTCACATTTGGTACATGGGCTCAGATTCAAGCTCAGGACTTTCTGAATCCAGATTCAGTGTTTCCCACTATACCAGAGCTGTCTTTCTTACATTTCTGTTGCTGTTTTCCACTTAAGCTGACTCATGAAATCTGACTTTTAAGTCTGTTGGGAAAAGGTATAAGAGAGATGCAAGCAAGGTGTTTATCCTGCTTCACATACAAGATTTGACCAAGTTACTCTTTTGTTTCAAAGCCTTCAATGGTTTCCATCCCCTCACCCCAGCCCCTGCCTACCAAAGGTCAAAAATCCAACTGCCGAATTGTCTTACACATCTTTAAAACAAAGTAAAATAAAAACAAATAATTAAAAAAACCTAACCGTCTTTAGGGGCCAGGTAAACAGAATAAATGAGTGAGGCAAGAGAGGTGAATAGGTACAATATACTTGGTAGCAGTGAATTCTGGTTTTAAAACAGACTGCAGCCAAAGGCTCAGCTCTGCAGGCTGATTTGCCAAAGGGCAGCCAACGCGTCATCGCAGGGACTGACCAGTGGGAACAAGTCCCAGCTCCCAAGAACAGCACTCGCGCCCTTCGCACTTCTGCCCCCCAAGTCCCCGCCACGCGCCCATGGCAGACCCCAGGCTCCAAATCCCAGAGCTTCCCACCACTTCCGCATCCACATGCACACCCTTTCCCTGGAATGCCCTGCCCCCATTCTCTGCCGGGTAAGTTCTTCCACCTCATTCAGGACTCTTTCCCGCCTCACCCCACTCCGCATGTCAGCGCAACTGGATCCCACTCCCTCATCGAGGGCCGCACAGGCATCGACTGCAGCAGTCCTTCCTGCAAGGTGACACACGACCAGGCACAGACTGGCTTCCCTTTGCCAGACTCCAGTTCCAACAGGCAGAGGGAGAAGGCATGGCCTCTGGAACCCCTGCTACGCCTTCGATAAACAGTGGGTCCTGAATCACCTCAGGACGACACCTCCTGCGGTAGGCGGGGTAATGTTTTCCCTGCTTTGCCCCCACAAGGTGTCTGACTCCGAATTCCTGGGACCTGCGACTCTATGCTGTCACATGGCAAAGGGGAGCTGAGGGAGCAGATGAGTCAAGCTTGCCGACTGGTCGGCCTTAAAATGAGATCATCCTGGATTATCCAGGTAAGCCCACTGTATTCGCGAGCATGCTTCAATGTGGAAGAGGGAGGCAGGAGAGAGAGCCAGGGTGATGCAATGTGAGAAAGACTCGACCCAGCGCTGCTGGCTTTGGAGACGGAGGAAGGAAGCCAAGGAACGCAGGGGCAGCCTCTAGAAGCTAGAGAGGGCGCAGTGAGGGCTTTCCCCTTGAGGCTCCAGGAAGGGATGCAGCCCTGCCAACACCTTGCTTTTAGCCCAATGAGTCCCACTTGGACATCTGATTTATAGAACTATACGATAACAAATCTGTGTTGTTTTAAGCTATAAGACTGTAGTAATTTGTTACAGCAGCAATAAGAAGCTAATACACCTACTAAGAGCCTTAATATCCATAACACATTTTTTGGAGACATTAAGTTTCCTATTAACAGTTTTAAAAAGTCCAGAGGAATCTGCCAGGCAAGCTCCATCTAGCCGCCACCCCCACTTTTAGCTACTTCCAGTCCATGAGGTGGAGCGGCGCCTGGGGATGAGTGCCAGGAGCCAGCAGGCCTTTGGGCAGCTCACTAGAACGTAATTATGAGAGGTCTCAGTTAAAGTCTGACAAATGTGATCCCGACTACATATGCTCTGCAGCGGCAAATCTCTATAAAATGAGGTTATTAAAACAGAATAAAGCTTGTTCAGGATTAAATGGAATTCTTGATAAGAGGTGAGTTAAGTAATTACTGAATTTAACTTGGTACTTAACATGAACACAATGTATAGAATACTTCAAATGCCAAGAATGAACAGAAAAAAAGGAACATTAAGATTTCTTTAGATATTTGAGAACTCTGAAATTTCTATTAACTCCTAAAAAAAATCCAAAAATCATTTTTAAAAATCAACAACAAAGAACAAAGTTCCGTAGGTCTTTGATTTACCTAAATAGGCACACTTAAGTCCCCAAATACCATTCTATGACAAAATTATCTTTGTAAAGAATGCTTTGATAGTTTAATCACATGACTACCATCAACTTTATAAACATGCTTGGCCAAGCTCTGATCTACTTATTATTAGGCTTAGTCCTATTTTTGAGAAAAACTGCTGAAGACAGCATATTACAGTTCATACAATTCTGAGATACCCCTTATTTTTTGAAATTGTTGGAGAGGTCAAGTAGCAGTATGCTTTGGATTTCTAATATTTCCACACAAAGTGCTAATTTTTAAAGAGTCACTTAAATGATAAAGTAGGAATAAGCAAACACCTAAAGAAAATGCCTCTTACTTCCAAAAAGAGAAAGCTCATTCTGTGTAAAGTTAGATCGGGAAATCAGAGTACGACAAAAGTGCATCTGCCCTTTAAGGATGTAAAACCAGCATCAACGTCTTACAGTTTTGATCTCCTCCAATGACATGGGAGATGGCGTGGGGAGAGGGCGGAGGGAAAATGGCCCTGAGAGGAAGGAAAGGATCGCTGGCGAAGTCTCTGCAGGGCCAGGTGGGTGATAAGGAATAAGCCTAAGAACACAGGGAGTGCCCCGGGGGCCAAAGCCATGCTGGGGGGCCCAAGCCATGCTGGGGAGCCCGTCACAGGCTTGGCAGCAGGAGGGACACGCCGTCTCCGCAGCCCCCTGCCGCTGTGGCTCCCGTCCTCTGCCCGGAAAGCCTTCCTTGTCCCGCCTTCCAGGTTCTGCTTGGGCGGTGCCTTTTCTGAACAGCCTTGCCTAGCGCCTTCCTCAGTGTTCTACTTGTCTGAACTGTCTGCATCACATGGGAAGTATTTGTCTAGGACTAGGCTTCAGTTAAGTCCCTCGAGGTCAGCATCTCTGTCCTGTTCATTTCTGCTTCTCCAGTAGTGTCCCGATATCAGAAAGGGGAAAAAAGGGAAGGGGAGAAAAGAGGAAATCCAATGGAAAAGGTTTCAGGATCTGATAAATCCTGAGGTACTAGATATATCAAAAGGTATCTGCCCCTAGATAACTGAGTGAATGAGAAAAAATTAAGAGGGATAATGTAGCTGTCGGTGCAAATAAAGAGCTCTCCTAGGGAAGTCAGTGAGGTGTGTTCAGAAGGCACTGCATTGCCATACAGACCGGGCAGCCTCATATGCGCCACAGGATGACATCTGTTCTCACAAAATGGACAGCTTTCTTCGACACCGATGATGGTCTACCTTGGAAAGGTTTTTGTCAGTGAGCTATGGTCTAGTCAAACTGCCACATTATATTAAATATGTCTCTACAGAGATGACAGAGACAGAAGAGAGAATCCTGTATTTCTACAATAAACTGTAGTTTAAACAAGAATTAAATTGTAGCTGAGAAAGAAAAAAAAGAAAGGAATTGCAGTGTGCATTTAATGTCTCTTCTGGGTTGTTTCACTTAATTCTGACAACAACAACAACAACAACAACAACAACAGATTCTGACAACAACCTGTGGAAACAGATCTTCTTCTTAGTGGAAAGAAA